AGCAGACGCGAGTGTCACTGTCGTCGCCGCGTCTCAACTCTTGGCTGCTGAAGCTTCCGGGGAGTGTCCAGCTGAATAGAAGCCTGCAGCAGCGTCAAACTTCTATGGCATCGTCCAGCGGAAATCGAGAGACCAGTTTTTTGGACATTGTAAAGACACCAGTCGAAGACTCCTTCCAGGCACCATAGTAACATTTTTTTATCTTACGAAACTTTGCACGGCTTTTGTGGTAAATGCTCGCAAAGTGGCCTGCCGAACCATAAGAAATAAGCTGCTGCCAAAATAAAGGTAAAACAAAATGTAGGCAAATATGCAGAGATATTTCAAAAGTTTGCAGGAAGTAGCCCAAATAGGGAATTTTTGTATCAAAGGGAAATGTTGGACGTGGTTGGGAACATCACTGAGAAGTGGGGAGCTACGGCCTATTCATGTGTGCAGTGTAAACTGCTGCGGCCCGGAGATTGAAATCTGCAGCAGAAGAAAGGCGATTGAATGCGCACCATTTTAGTTGCACGTGGCCAAACTCCAAGAATGGCCGGAGCACAGCATGTGCCCTTTGCATTGCTGGGACTTGGGTAGCCAGCACCAGACCACGTGGCTGATGCACGCTAGAAGCGTGGGGCTCGCCGTCCTTTGCTTTGCTTCCACTTTAAGCAAAAGGGAGCGTAGTACTACCGGGCTGGCGTGGGGGCAACCATGGTACGGGCAGTTACAAGCTAGCAGTACACCCATTTTTGCGCAGCATTATGTCTTAAAAGTTGGCAAATATTGCACTTTTAGCTTTTGTCAGTGTGGTAAAAGCAGCACTCTTTGGCACAACATTGTTACATTGTTTGTGGCCCAGTTTTCCTCCACTCTCCTCTTGCCAAATTAAAACTCGCTGGAACAATTTGTCGATTGAGATTTATTCAAAAACTCGAATATTCGACTACGACGACGAAGAACAATGTGGGACTTTACATTAGTCTGGGTAGAGTGCCAGGCCAGCAGGCCTGAGTAGAGGCTGCTGTCCCGGGTAGAGGCTGCTCCAGTCTCGCTTCCGATCTCCAATGGTTAAGGAAACACCCGTTACAGGACAGCGTTTCTGTATTTTTCGAGTCAAGACAGAATTTAAATTGTGCAATTCTGCTAGTTCCCCCCGATTAGAGTTCCTTTTTGGCCCTCTTGCGGGAAAAAGGAGGCATTGTTTCTTTTACAACAGTGAAAAGCATATACAAAGAACTTGTAGTTGGGCTACTTGGTGAACGTTTGGAAATCACGTATGTCTGTTTTCTCTCTTCTGTCCGTTTTTTGCGCCTTACACCATAATTTCCAGCATATAGACCGACACGCTGTTTACAAACAAGCCGGCATTTGCCCACACCAGGTGTGGGCACTGCGCAAGCGCAGAAAACAAGTTCGCATGAGGTGAAGCTTCTGCGCATGCGCCATGGCGACAACAGCGCCATCGCAGGAGCGTGACGTCAGAGCCACGTGTTGGTCTGTACAAAGGCTTTTTTTCTTTTTTTTTCAAGCTCTAATAAAGTAGGTAAAAAAGGATATGAAAGATGTTTTAAGATGAACATTTAGATACATACTGTAGGTACCTCTCCACTTGATCACCACTCAGATTTACTGTAGTATCCCGAGAGATAGCCCACATAATCAAATGAAAATAAGGGGGCTGCTAACTTTCAGTGTGCCATAAAAACAAAATTTATTCCAGGTTCTTACAAGTGGGCTATAATTTAATGTTTAAAGAAAAAAAAATTAGCAAATTATGCAAAAAGATAGGGGGTGGGCTATCTCTCGGGATATTAGGGTAGGCAATTATCAAGATTTGGTACAAGATTTTGTGTGCCCTCTTCAAAGGTCTTGGCTCTCTGTCATCTCATCATGCATTCAACAAGACAATCAGTAGTCATACATTCTATTCTAACTCTCGTCACCTAGGACGTCTGTTCGTCTTCCCCAAAACTTCATGCAGTTTCCTTCACGCACATTACACATCGGTGGCGACCGACGGTCTTGGTGACACGCGATGGGGAACCCAGGTGGCACCCTTCTTTGACGAGGGCATCAAAGTATGCGCCACATCATCTCGAGTGCCTAATCTGTGGGGTGATTACGTGGAGTATCTACACTATGTATCTAGATGTAATGTATATTGCAGCGTTTTTTATGAATCTTCTTTCTTCACCCAGTCGTTGACGGTTGACAAAATATAGCCCTCATATCTTGCAGGTCTGTTGTATGCAGCCACAGTTAAAATTAACATACTTCGACGGATCTGTGTGCATATATTTAATTCAACCTTATTCTAGTTTGGAAAATATAACTCCCATAAACGTCAAATATCCGAGGGCTGAAAATTTAACCAAAGTAAACTCCCGACGACATATGCCAACTTCAGAAAACCCTAGTGAAACTGTACGAAACCACTTGAAATCCTCTACCCTTCATTTAACCTCACCTGAAAACAAAGGGCACAAGTCTTGATGCCTAGAGAGGAGAAAGAATAAGGCTGGTCCTTTTCCTTTCTAGATATGGGTCACCCTTCTAGGGATGCAACTGCCAAGTCCTTTGCAGAAACACGCGCAACTAAGCTTCAACTATGTCAAGGATCTCAAAATGCACACAATACTGGATGTTTCAAAAGCAACCTTAAAACTTTTATTTAAAAAAAAAAAAAAAATTTTTTTTTTTTAGGAACAAGTTGGTTAGTTGAGAGTTCTGAACTGGTGTTTTCATGGGTGCTGACTGTATATTCAGTACAAAAGAATGGTTGCAAAATAAAAAGTGTCAATCAAAATTAAAAAAAAAAAAAAAAAATCTAGGATGTACTCTGCATGACAGTTATAGTGCGGACAGATAAAGTGCTCGTAACGGGCACCAACTTCAGCATTAAAATTTGGTGCCCACCAATATGCAAAAACGTACCAATGTGGTTTTTGCACCACCAACATTGTGCAGTGTACACACAGTGGCGAGTAGCTGCTCTGGATAATGCACCTATAAGACAATAGGGAGTTTTAGAATAGCGCATGCTAAAGCTTTGCGTACGCAAAGAATAGCGTCGTCGCCACTGCGCATGCTCCGAACGCAAACCAGGTTTTGCGCTTTTGCGCTAACTTTCCGAGAAATAGCGTGCGCTATTTCTCGGAAATAGCGTGCGTACGCAAAGGGTCTTTGCGCTTCTCCAAGGAGGATTCGTGATGAGAAGTTGGCTAAAGCGAAGACGAGCACAGTAAAAAATGGCGGCTTCCAGGATTATGTCGGCAGCTGCTTTAGCGGCGTCGTGAGTGCGGCGGCATTCTCGCGACTGCGATTTTCAATACGGGACGACATTGTACGCGGTTTGGCAACGACCCCCGGCAACTTGATGCTTGCGACGCGCGAACATTTCTCGGCGAAGGTACGATGTGCGAAGGTCAGTACACGAGACCTCTCTTGCCGAGGCGACGCAAGCGGACACGACTTGTCAACCGCTCGCGTCGCATTCTCATGTTTAAACAATTCTAAAATAGTACTCCGAACCAAAAAACTTTTTTTTCTAAAGTTACAGCATTTCGTGTGTGAAATAAAAATTGTGTATGTATCTTGGTGGCGTTGCAAGCGCGAGCTGCTTGGGCTTTTGCGTCGCGGCGGAGAAACGCTATTCTAAGACTGTTGCGTCGTGTGCGCTAATACAAGCGCTAAATTTAGCGCTAGCGTGCGCTAAAATTGCGCACGTTATTCTAAAACTCCCTAGTGACATCTTGTAGCTGCAATGGCTACTAGCAATGTATCGCCGCATAAAATGCTTGAAACCTGTTGTAGGGCATAGAAACTTCCAAGGTCTTAAAACACTGAACCCCTGGTGTTTGCAGAGATTAAGAGTGACTAATCGGATCTAGGGTGTCCATTGTATGCTACGTCATGCACCTGTCCTTGTGGCATTCGTGCGGGTAACTTAAATGCAGGTTAGTCGATTCCAGGAAATTATTCTTTGAAATGGTCCCCCAAAGCACAAACTGTTCCTGCACCAATCCTTTGAGACTAAATGACACATCATTGCTTGCCAGTGCTCCCTCACCCACTGAATTATGACCTTGATGGTGCCACCGCCATGTAGAACACTAACTTCATGATATGTGCCCCATGTGGAACATTACCTTCATGATTTGTGTCGAGGCTCCAGACCCTTGTAGAGGAATATATAGACCAAAGAGGTGTGCAGACTGCTCGGTGTTAGTTTGTGTTGGGACACTAGTGAAAAGCATGCTTGCATGCTTTGAAAGGACCAAGGTTGAAATAGGCACTTTGTAGAAAACCGTTGTGGCGGTGGCTGGTCTAAATGCATTCCTCTGTTTGAAGGCTCCAAATGAGGCATTCTGGGTACCCTTGTTTGATACACCGAGAGCTTGGGGTGGCTCCCTTGCAACCAGTCACAAAAATGGCAGCTGGTAGTTCAAGGTCCTGGCCCAAGTGAATGCAATTTGACGAAGGCTTTGTGTGCACAAGTTTCTATATAGTTCAAGTTTTAGTTGCAGATCAAAAGAACGGTCAAAAAAAAATTTTTTTTTTTTTTCGAGAAGTTTTTGAGATTTGGCATTTATCCATAGGAGCAGCGCAGGTGCCTACAGACATTGTAGACAATAATATAACAAGAAGATGTGGCTCATAGTTATGCAGCAACAGGAAACTTGTATCTGCTGGAACACCTACCAACTTGAAAAACATTTTGCTTAGAGGAAGGAACGGTCAAGGAAATTTGGGAACCCCTGACTTCCTAAGAACCCCATTTGAGAAACCATACTTTGAACTTGTTGTCTTTCACTGGGGTGCATAAAATGCTCTTAGTTGAACAGAAGCTCCAAAAATTTAGCTTGTGTATACACAAACAGAGTACACGAGGGCCCGTCAAACGACTGTATTTCGGCCCCAAAAGAAGGTGAAACGGCCGTCTACCATAAGAGAGACCATGTACTGAGCACTACCGCAGAGACGTCCGTCCCAAACCTGGCCACCCGTCTGCGCAGGTGCGCTACCGGGACCTGGCGCAGCTGAAGGAGTCGGCGAGCCTCTCCTTCTCCCGGGGCCGCCCGGTGTGTGTGGTGGCCGCGGGCGAGACCACGGTGCACGTGCGGGGTTCCGGCCTGGGGGGCCGCAGCCAGGAGATGGCGCTGTCGGCCGCCCTCGTCCTGGACGCCCTCTTTCCGACCCCCGGGGAGGCCCTCGGCGACCCCCTCTTCCTGGCGGCCGGCACCGACGGCGCCGATGGCCCCACCGACGCCGCCGGGGCCGTGGCCCACCCGGGCACGGTGCGCGAGGCCAGGGCCCAGGGGCTGGACCCCGCGGCCGCGCTCGAGAACAACGACTCGCACGGCTTCTTCCGCGCCTATGCGGGCGGGGCCGACCACGTGGTGACTGGCCCCACGGGCACCAACGTCATGGACCTGGACCTGCTGCTGCTGTGGCCGCGCTTTATTGGAGGGGCTCGGCAAGCTCCCGCAGACCAGGCCTGAGCCGGCCGTCCGACGCCGTGAGCACCACGCTGGGGACCAGCCCCAGCTGGAGCAGGCTGGCATCCGGCTGGTCCAGCCGCTGGCCCCCGGGGGACAGCAGCTCCGGCCCCTCCGGGGGACGCTCCTCGAGCTGGTCGAGCAGGAAGGCGTGCACTGCTGCCAGCCGCTCGTGCACCGAGAACGTGCCCTGCGTGGAAACGGGCGTGGTTCTGCGAAAGGCCGCCAGCACGCTCTGCGGAAGAATGGTCTCGACGCTGCGTGGGCTGCCGGGACCGCTTACGCAATCTACGATTGCTTCGTTGTGCGATTGCCCCGATTAACCCGGAGTTCCAAGCTGTCCATATGGATAGCCTATATCCATGTTGCTAGGCTATGCAAGTGGATAGCGTATATCCACGTTGACAATATGCACCTAGAGGGGCTGGATCACCCACCTCGACGAGCAGGCCACAGGGTAGGCGGATGCGGACCAGCGCATACTTGTACTGGGACAGGTCGCGCCGCTCGTCCCGTTCCCGCATGGCCTTGGTCCGCAGCATCTGTCGGACCTCCACCTCCTTTGTCCTACGCAGTCGGAGGATCCTTTTTTAATACGGGAGCGGTACCAAGAATGGGGTGCCCAATGGCTAGAGAGGGAAGCTTAGATGCAATCATACATAATTTTTACATATTAAAACCATTTCAGAATAAAGAATATTTGTTTACCCTATTAGGATTTCTATTATATATGAATCACTCGAGCGCTTGTTCCAGGATTATAAGCTTGTATTTACTGTAAAGAGACAGATAAGCTTGTAATGCTGATTAAGGCATTTAAGTACTGATTAGTAAAAAAAAAATACTGACAAAGCGAAGATATTTTTTCGCAAGTTGACTTTAGTAATAAAGTGTTTTCAACACTTCAGGAAAATTTGTCACATACGAACATATGGAATACAAACAAGCATGTCCCATTAGAATAATAAAGCTGACAATTAACGGGCTTTTCAAACATTTATTTTGATTTTATCGTTCTAGAGCAAAAGCTTATTGGAAAAATTTGGTTATTTCTGACCTAAACAATATCCGTGCCGATAATAGGTAGTTGATGCAACCTTAGAAATAAAATGTTAGAGACAAGGATGGCAATCAGAGCCTCGGGAGAAAAACGTTTTGTAGTTTTGAAGGATAAAATATTGAACAGAGAATTAACTCCCCGATTTTTTAAATATTTTTCCTCTTTTAGAGGTTAGCTGGAAGCACGGGGCAATTAATCTCAATGTGCCAGCAATCCCCCTGGCCACATACATACAAGTTACTTGACTGAGCTTGTGCACATCCACAAAGGTGCTACTACAAAGTCCGTAGACTTGCGTTTTCGATTTGTACAATTGCCTGGGTGAAGACTCGAGAATAAAGAATAATTTTTTTACAGACGGATGCCAAGGTTGTTTGAATTCAGAAACGGTGGTTTTAGTTGGGTACCTGGAACGAGTCTTAGAAAGGTGCTCCGAAGAGGCCTTCGATAGAGAACAAACACGTTCGGCACACTTCTTGTCCCTCCTGTAATTGGTTAAGTAAAAAATTCAAAGTGTCTAGACAAATGGGGCACGGCTTCGATGCTTGCTGCAAAACCAACGAATGCGCGATAGTCTCGCTCTCTGAAAATAGTTTAGTTTGGCACGTCGTCACAATAGCCACGAGCAATTGAATACCAGGTTGTGCGAGCCTTTATGCTCTCCGATCATGGGAATGCGTCGAGGAACTGACGGGGAGGAAAAGACGAGAGCGTGCCAGGTCTTCAGAATGCCGAGCTCTGGCTGGAATGATTAGTGGCTAGACCTAAAGCTGGCTGCCTTCGTCTACACTGCACTTGTCGAATTCGTTGGAACACCGGCGTCCAGTGTTTGGCCTTCGCATTCAAATGCGTTTGACGAGTGCAGACGAGACAAAGGCAGCTAGCTTTAGGTCTAGCCACTAATCATTCCAATCGGAGCTCGACGCTCTGAAGTTCCTGTGCGCTCTCGATTGTCTCTTCCTCTCCCTCAGCTTCTTGGCGCAGATCATTCGATTGACCGTGTTACTAACATAGAGTACAGGGAAAGCTATAAGCCTGAACTCTTGGCTTAAGAAGCCAGACCCGTACGAGTTGGCACATACACCAAAGCCAAATAAAATTTGAAGCGAACGTGATCACGCTGACAAAGACGGGGGACCGGCGGAGGACTGGCAGCACGATCGAGCTTGTGTAATATTTTGTGCCACGTCGTCGAGGCTAGTTCCATTTCAATGGTTGTGCGAGAGCGTGTGGACTCGTCTTACTTCTCATTCGGATGCACGGTTGTGTGAGGGAGACTCAAAACAAAGCCACATGCTTGCAAAAGTAGCTTTGACGGGATTGAAACACTGGAAGCTATGCTGGCCTTAACAACGTAATGCAAAAAAGTTAATGTTGACTATTGGGGAGGAGATCAGACCGTGGCGCCCCAAGCAGCTAACTTTAGAACTACACAGATGGGGACAGGAAATAACGATGATTCAACACTCGGCTGACTTAACCGAACGCCGCGTCAGCATTCGGATAGAGTTTGTGTTCTCCGGTCACCCGAGGGGGAGGAGGGGCTCTTTTGTTACCACTCCGGCCTGCATGAACAATGCAGCATGCAGCATGCCCAGCTCAGCACAAAAGCCCAAGTGGGTCAAGCTCGCATTTTCTGACGACTGCTTTCGGGAGAGATCCGGCACTAACAATAAACGTCACTTCGTTTATCGTTAGTATTTTTACGTTAAGACGTGTACATGCCGACAAGGTTTGTGGGCAAGTCCACAAACCTTGTGTTGGGTGAACACCAAGGTATGGGGACAACAAATGGGTCAGAGCGCCCCCTATAGTTCAATCTCCTCGCCAATAGAGCTTTCCAGCACTTATCACCCATGCAAAAAAATGCTGGGTCAGTGGGCTGTGGACGCACACGCTTGCAACACATTCTGCAACCCGGTAGCCAAAGATGGCTGCAGAAGGTGATTACTGGAATGGTTAATACATGCAGCTGTAGTCACTAGAAAGCTATGCAGAGTATTGGTGCTTTTCCACATTGTCCAATCATTTGGCCGTTTGTCCTTTTGCATTATGTGGCATTTCTTTTTCGTGCTAGGGCATCGTTTGCGAGAGTCGTGGTTCTCAACTGCGACCCCTGGAACGGTAATTGCACGGCTAGGAGATTGTCATGGTATTGTCTCGCTCCGTTGTAAACTGTTGTATAGCAAGCAGGACGATAGAAAGCACTTTTTTGCATTTTCCATCGGGAACGGCGGCCAAAGTCAGCGACAACGAACAATGTTGATTCTAGACACCAAAATGGCTGAACCGTTCTTACTCTAAAGGACTGTTCACACGTACATCACAGTGCAACCTCAACACTACTAACCAAGGTCCTAAGGTTGGCACAAAAAATAGCCCTGACCTTGCTGATGCAGTGCCAACTTTGTGTAATATTAGCGCTCCAGCACTGATACAGTTCTACATTAGTGCTAAGTGATGTTCAAGTGAGCTGTTCCTAGTGTGCGCCGTACAAGTGAACCGGCCTTAAGGCGTAGCTTATTCGGTGGCTTTAGCTGCAGCCACAGAAGCAGACTGAGAGTGTGTGCGCACCTGGCCTCCTGCTCCCTGAGCAGCTCTTCGGGCGTCAGGTGGAAGAACTCGTCGGGCAACTGCACGTCGGAGCGCCCCTGGGCGGGCGTCAGCACCCGCAGGCCCCGATCCAGCATGGGCAGCACGGGCTCCGCAGTGCGCAGGGCGTCCCGGAGCACGCACAGCTGCTCCATGTCCCCGTCTTCCGGGAAGACGAAGCAGTCGTCCGTTTGCTCGAAGCCCGCCGCCTCCAGGAACTGGGCGGCCCCCTCCAGGGGCAGCACCCGCTCCTGGAGGATCTTGTTGGACAGGCGGATGCGCCGGTACTTCTCCTCGCCCGGGTGGTCCACTATGTTGGTCAGGTACTTGCACAGCGTGTCCACTCCGGCCTCCACCTGTGCAACGGTAGTGAAAAGCCTCGCACACTTAGTATACCCAACTTATTCTTTCTCTTCATTCTTCCGTACTCGAAAATTGTATCTGTTTCATAAAGACTGCAGAACGTTAGTGCCCGTGTTTCAAAGTTTACTCAAGCTCAGTCTAGAGATAAAGGTCTTGTTCCTAGGTGTTCAAAGAATTACAGGAGGGCACTTAAAACTGCTTATGTGTAGGAATGCAAAAGCATTCTACAAGCAGCATGCCACATCTTCCTTTTTTAAACTGCGCTCTGGCGGCGACATCGTGCTCAACCGCGCAGGCACGGTGAACCCAGCCGGCTCTACGGCTTCCGTGAAGATGCGTCTGCGTTGCTTTGCTTTTGTTTGTATTTTATTTCTCAGGTGCGTCCGCTTTGACCTTGAGCGGCCTCGCCGACTTCCGCGATGAAGCATCCGATACAGAGCATCGCAGCTAACAGGACTTTAGGTGCTGTTTCGCTCGGCCAATGGAAAAATGGGAATTTAGGTGGCGCTTTTCGCCGCTACAGACACCGCTGGCTCTGCTCTGAGGGACCAAGTGATGCTTTCGCATTAAAACCTACTCGTGTCCGGCGTCGCTCTGCGTAATTGCGTAGTGTGACCCGCGTGAATGACCCGGATCTGTCTGAGCGAAATTCGTAACGCGGCCAGTGTGCCTCCGCCGTCGAGGCAATTTGATTAGTGCAGCGCAACTGCCGTAGTTGCCGACAGAACAAGGATGACAGAAAGGAGTTGCTGTTGTCCCGCTTTGAGCGCATGCTTGCTACCTTCCGACAACTCCCGAGCCTCGTACGTGCATGTGCAGCCAAAGCGAGGCAAGCGGCAACAAGCGCGCTTTGGAGGCAGGGCATTTGAAAGAGACGCTATGCCATTCTCACTTTGTCACAGACTGTAGCCCAAGAGTCTTTGATGCACGTCGTACAATAGTGGTTGTGTGGTTATGTGCCGGTACAACGCCGAGCCGTATTAAAACCCTTCCATGCCCGATGCACTTTACACTGCCTTCCTTCGCTATAAATCGCGCTGCGCGCGGGAATTCAACACTTCCGAAACCATTAGTGCCACTGCATTTCTCTTAGAGGCAACGGAATGGTTGGCGACACCAATGTTATACCGCTCAAGAACAAACCGCCGAAGCCTCCCGGCCGCCCGTGGAAATGTTAACACGAGAGCGACGGCAGGCTCGCAACGTATACCAGGCTCCTTTCTTCCCCACAAAAATGGCAACGGACAACACTGCTGGTGCGGATCTCCGGTTTTTGAGAGTCACGGTCCCCACGAGCTAGTTTCGAAGCAGAAGACCGCCGCGAATATCATTTGCCTGTGACATTGCCGCCATCTTCTACTGTTCCCCTAGAGAAAAGGGAACCCGCAAGACGCATCCTGGGTGTGCACTTGCTGCTGCATTCACGCTTCAGCCGATCGACGATTCGCTTCATTCCACGACCGTGTGGCACGCTCGAGCGCGCCTCTCTTGTCCGTACCTTGGCTGCTGGGTTGCAGGTGTGTATGAGCAGGCACGCCCCGAGGCCGGGCTCTTCCTCCAGCTGGTCATACAGAAATTGCCGGATGCGGTCTCGCAGCTCCCCCAGTGGCAGACGGACGTCCGGTCCCAGCAGCGGACAGGAAAACAGCACGGTCTGCACATGCACGGCACGACACCATTAGTGCGAAACAAAAGCAACCGTCAGTTTTCCCCGTCTTAAAGCGATAGCTTTATGTGGGAATCCTGCAGGAACCTTCCTTGGCAGTGTTGGTGTTGGTTGCACCAGAGCAAGCGTGGGAGAGGGTCTTGGAAACAGAGTGCAGCCGTTGGTTTAATGTCGTGGTATATTTGGGCAAGAGGTGCCTGCTAGCGAGTGCTATCATACCTTCATTACATTTGATAAAATGTCTAAGCCAGGCAATTTTACTGACCTAGGAAGTAGTATCAAAGCGAGATGCCAAAAAGTATGGACGTGACGTTCGCGCTAACAGTGTCGTACAGTGTACAGCGGACCCGAGTGCTCCGTCCTCTGCACTTTTTTTCTCCCGTGTCATTAGTGACATCAATAATGCATGTGCATCTTCAATGGCCACACAAAACGTTCCCAGCTTCATTGGAGGACGATGGACTCTGGAACACTGAAATTTCAAAAACCTCATGCCCGACAGATAGCGAAGAGAGGACCCTCATGGTGATTTCTCCCTCAACGCCTAAAAGTTTAATGTGACCGTTACACAAAGTTATTGCCCTTGAACACGCGAGAAATTCTGAAGTATTAGTTTTAGAGTTTTTAACAGACAATACTGACCAAGTTCTACATCAAACAAATTGTTCCTTGTCAAGACGCAATTTCAGCAAGATTTCTTTTTCCCTCGCATAATAGAAAGGCTGACCTACAAATGGAAAAACTTGTTCACGTTACTACCACAAGCTAGGAGGAAGCCTCCTTGCTTCTCCTCTATCCACTTTGAGTCTCATTTCCTGCCTGCAAAGAAAATCCAGAAAGGCAAGAAAGAAAATAAAGGAAATTTCTGCAAGGAAAAAAATATGTTGCAGCCCTGCCGGAGGAAGGCCTGCTGGGGCAAGCTTTTTTTAAGGAAGGACACTACCCAGGAGGGTCAACTTTTGAGCCCCTAGCTTGATGCGACTTAAATTAACAGTGCACACCGCTTGTCATGAAAGGGTGCAGAGAAAAATGTTTCAAGCCTGTAAATTAACTGTGAGGAAAATTATGACAGTTCTTATCAGGGACATACCCCCATTGTTTAGTCAATGTATCATTAAAACAATAATAGAATGTTCAACTTTGTTTCCAGATACAAAGTAGAACGTCTGGAGAGTGTAACTGCGAAAAGGATTTTGTAAAAAGTAGTTCATTTTTATAAAACACTCTTCTGCAAAAGCAAACAAGCTGTATGCCTTCTGTGTGCTCAACAGTCTTTATATTTTTGGTGAATACATTAATCAAGTTAAAAACAATTCCACAGGCAGATTTCTCAGTAAATTTCAGTCAGGCAAGATTAAGAATGAGCCTTTCTTTCATTCCTACATAATGAAAGGATGGATCAACTAAAATGGAATTTCTACTTCAAAATGCAATGGATAAAAATGCATTCAAAATGTCCAGATCTAGGTAAGTATGTAGCAGAAAAAAATAGTGACAATATTCTTTATATCCTGAGGTGCCTAAATATAACATTCTTCAAAATCAATGTCTTTTTGCAAGCCACATCCACATATAAGTACTTTCACAGTTTTAATTCTACTTGCAGAAGAGAGTCCACCTACACTTTTTGTGTAAACAAGCAAGCCCTTTGTTCTTCATTGTAAAGGCACTGTCAGCTGTCAAATGGCTGTGTTGATTTTGAAGTTGTTTTTCCATTCCTATTATGTCTCTTGACTGGAGAATAAAGTAATTGTAAATAAATAAAATAAAGAAAAATGATATTTGCAAGGTGACAACACTGCCTCATAGAAAGAAAGACAATGGCTAGTGGAGATGAAATATAATTTGTTAGAAAACAATAAAAGCACTTTCTTTTATGGTTGTGTCTTTAAACGAGTGAAGCAAAGTAAACAATGTACAAAAGTGTTTAATTCTACATATAGCAGAAAAACATGCCCATACATTTGGATTATTACCTCCTCCCTCATACCACTCTGACGAAAGCTAATTTTTCTTCCAACATCTTGAAGGCCTAAGACTTGGAAACAAAACTGTGGACAACACCTCGCACCTCTTCGTTCCCAAGTCTCAGGGTCTCAAGACGTTGGAAGTTCACCAGCTCACGTGCTTGCCGTTATTTCTATAATTTCTCTTGCCAAACAGGAACACTATTCAAAACACAATGGGTTAACCCTGAAAATGAACATGTAAGGTGTTAAAGAGATACTGCATCGAAACCTGATATGCCTCTCACGCTGTCTGCTAATGACAATCGCACACTTGTATTTTGAACAAATGGCTATACTTTTCGTTCCAAAGGACCGATTCCAGCGAGCGCTCGAGGAGCGCTCGCTGGAATCTGGTCTGACGTCAGTCGGACCAGCATGGGCAAAGCTACTTGGGGGCTCGCGTGGTTATGAGCTTCGCTACTTGGCCTCATCAACGCGTTACAACCTGGCCGTTTTTAGTTTCCCCTCCCTGCAAAACTTGAATAGGCCGGGAGAGAAGGGAAGTATGGTTCGACAGGGCTCGTGTGCACGCAGCTTGCCGCCATACTTTTGCAAAGCAGTGCTGCCTTTAACTGCAGAGTGACGTAACAACATTTGGTTTATTCCTTTTAAATAATGTTGTGGCATCTTTTCATGCAAAAAATTTGTGTCTTTGTGGTGTGGATAATAATGTGGTTGACATTTAGGCAATAAAATTGGCACTAGAATTTCGTGACAGTTTTGGCAGCTTAATTATGAAATGAAAAATTAATCACGGTATAAGACGCATATGTACAGCCAAACAAGGTCAACTTCGGACTTACAACCTTGGCTGTGCGCTTGGTGTGTGCACAAAGTTTTGCGGAGGCAATTTTCCACCTGCCGTTTTTGGAGCGTGTTTTGTGGAGTTCTTGCGGCTCAGCGTTTTATTCTCGTATTTCTGTGTTGATGTGCACATGGCAACTAGTCACTGCACGTGCTCTTACGTCCATGTGCTCGACTAAGCGAGCGTACAGGGCTGGATGCGCTTGCACGGAGTGTCGGCCAACTGAGCGTGCAGCTTGACGACGTTTCAAAGATAGAGTATATCGAAATGAATGATTACCTCGTGCGTGAAACAAGCACGACAACTTGTAAGCCCTATGCACCAGCAACCTTTCCCCATTTGTGATCATAAAATCAAAACAATACGCCGAGTGCTCACTGTATACACACGGTGTACGCAGTGCAAGCTATTTTACCAATCATACATTTTCGACTTCTGCATGTTCCCCCGTAAATAATAGTGGAGGTATATGTTGAAAAAGGAATGGAACCCCGAAATGTTACTACCAGGCTCTATAAAGTATGCTCCGATTTTGAATGCATGTATGTTCTCCAAATTAAATGTTGTCCTCTCACTGAAATGACAAATTTGGGAGTTATTGATGTAGAAGACTAGCCACAGATAATGCACGGCCATCTGTCAGACGCCGGTCGCTTGGGAACACTGAATCCAGCTGAGGGCTTCGACGTTGCTCGGCGGCTTTCCCAGAGCCTCTTGGCACAATGACCGCCATATATTCTTATTACAGCGAAGCTTTTATGCTCTAGGGTCTGAGAAAAAATGTGTCTGCAGATGTTGACAGAAAACTCCCTATTGGTTGTGGCAAGTATGAATAAATAAAAATAAAAAGAGGGGGAAACCAGCGTGAGTCAGCCTTCCTTGGCATTATTAGATAGTGAGGTTCTGATCCCTTGTTATCATCTCTAAGCATCGTCCTTGAGGATGTCCACGAGGTCGCCCTTGAAGTCATCCTAGAAGTCGTCCTCGAGGTCGTCCTAGAAGTCGTCCTCAAGGTCGTCCTAGAAGCCATCCTTGAGGTTGTCCTCGAGGTCGTCCTAGAAATAGTCTTTGCCGAGGTTGCCCTTAAAGGGACCATGAAGGCAATTTAATTTTTTTTTAAAAAGAAGGTGTTTTCAGAAGCATTGGGGTCCTGGCATGCCACACAATTTTTTCTAGAGCGCTGCGACTCTTATTTCTGTACCTGCAAATAAATTTGCGAAACCGAAACAAACATTCAGATTTCTTCCCTTTTTTGCCTCTGGAAAGAGAAGTAACGTCAGGGAGCACTGTCGGCATCGGTAGGATTTAGTGCACACTCAGTGTGGTTCCCGTGGTTCGCTCTAGTGCACGGCGGTCTGTGAAGAAAACCTGGAAGAAATGGACGACAACGCCGCGCTTTCCTCAGACGCAGGAACTTCATGTTTTTACCCAGTCTCCGGCTGACGTGAAGGTGCTGCTCAAAGTCTTCTGGTCGGAAATGCAACTAACAAATCCTGACACCGCTGTCCACAGCTCTACGCAAGACGACGGCGCGCAACCAAATGCTGCGCATTGCTGCATCGGTCGGCAGTTTATGCAAACTAACGTCGCCCGATCGACCGCACGTCTTTAGCCGACCTTTCGCGCAACCTACTACTGCACATAAACGCGGCATGATTGGTGAGACACCAGTTCGCAAAGCAAACACGAGAGGACTCACGAAACCAAAACCAAGAGTCCGCCGCCCCCGGTGCTCGTACCTCTTTTTCTTTTTTTTTGTCCATGGTTGCTCAATGCTTGTCGATGCCCGAGGTAGCAGTGCGGGATGCGTTCAACCAGTGACAAACGGAGGAATCGCTTCAGATTATGCTTTTATACACGGTATAAAACATATTAATTCCCAACTACAACTTCAAAAGATTATTCATCGTTTAAATAAAAATTTTTCATCACATCTCACCACCGAAATCGAAAGCAAGAGTGCGTCTATCGTTTGAACCAATCGCCAGACGAGGTGCCCGTTGTCGTCACGCTTCGGCGCACTTTAGTTCACCTTTCTGCCGCCGCTTCGGTGGGGTCTCAGGCATCGTTCCCGGCGCTACTATTACCGCGCCTGTTTGCTCGATTGGTGCGGCACCCAAACTTCTGTTCGGGCTAGAACTTGGTCAACAGTATCTGAGACGTGCCTGACATCCATTTCAATCGTCGAATAAAACTTCGAAACTGCCTTCATGGTCCCTTTAAGGTCATATTAGAAGTTGTCCCCGAAGTCGTCCTCTAGGCGTTGTCCTTGAGGTCCTCCTAGAAGAGATCCCCTAGGCACCGTCCTAGACGTCGTAAAAATAACAGCTTCGCTGGTTCTCCATCTTCACGTGAAGTGAAAGGGCTCTACAATTTTTTTTTCTTCCGCTGACCATGTATGACGTTCGCTACAAAAAAAAAAGTTTATTTAAGCAAGAAACACACATAACTTCTTTCTTTAATTTACCGCAGCACAGCTATTGCTACACAACGCCTGCCGCAGAATGTGGCCTTATGCCATTGGTGGTCGGAAAACGATTTCTCTTTCTGCGATGCGTCGCTTCAAGCGGAGTGGATATCATACCGTTCCTATACAACACTGCCATGTGATCTTGGAGGGTAAAGGGCATGTTTCAAACATTGGGCCAACAAATGCACATGTTACTAAAGTAATCCCTCGTTATAACGAAATCGCTTTTTATGAATTATCGCATTTTTCTAAGTTTAACGCGCTCCCGATCCCAATGCATGCATTTTGGACCGGATTATTTGAAGTGTATCAACGGCCGGACATGCTTGATACGAGGGACGATCCGCCAAAAGTACAGTATGTAAGCCAGCGCAAGAAAAAGAAATGTTTGTTGTCCCTTGTCTGCAGTATGTTTAATTCTTTTTGTTGCCAGCCTTCCAAGATGTGCGCAAAAAGCCATTAGCTGCGAAATGTATATTGTCTTTTGCCGCTATAAATGTGCGAGGAGCGCGGAGCGTGTGCCTTGCTTGCTGAGTGTCTGTCGCGCCCACCTCTTTGGAGCCCCGATGCACCTGCCTCTCGACTCCGACTTGTCAAGGGTGCAAAGAAGGCAGGAGATCGCCACTTCGGGAGCTCTGTGCGCGCAGAGGAATGCGGCAACGTGTTGAGCGACAGTTCCAACCAAGGGGGTTCCGACACTTCATACGGTGCCCGTGGTGCCCGCGCCCCAGCGCTCGTCAGAATCAAGTCAGGGAAGCGCATCCCCTGCCGGCGCCCACCTCTTTGGAAACACCGTCCCAAGTTATCTATAAACATTAAAAAGAAAAACTTTGTCTCACTAAAACTGTTTAATACAGCCAAAGCTACAGGGGAGAGAGCGTATGCTCTCCTATCCTCTGTCACTTTGGCTGTACCTGGTTGTCGCGACGCACGTGTTTGCCAGCTTGTCGACGCTGCATTTACGGATCGCGTGCGCGTGTCGAGGGGAGGCACTCACTTGATTGAATGACATTTTAGCGAAGGCCCACGTTTCATTGAATGACACTTTAGCGAATAGTCGGACGCCGCAAAGCGGCGTTTTCGGGTAGGCCAAATGGGCTCGTATTTTCGTAATGACTGTTGCCGCTTCGCGGCGTAAGAGCAGCGCGGCGGATGGCTTAACGCACGCCCCCGTTATTCGCTAAATTGTCGATTCGCTCAAATGTCGCTGTTCGCTACAACGTCATTCGCTCATGTGATATGGACCCAGCTGCGTGCAACCTGCTTCACTGAAGCCTGTGCGGAAGTGTTTGACCATGGACCCTGGAACAGAAGAACTGGAGAAAGGTGGTCGACCGAAGAAGTTGGAAATTGCGAAAGAATTCAACATCCCGGCATCGACGCTGTTGACGGCTTTTCCCGCACGCGCATGTTTGGTGCGCCAGCGGATGACACCGAGATCTGCGATGACCTTTACAGAACCGTGCATGAGATTGTCGGTGCAACTCCCGAAGACGACTTCAGCTCGTTTGCGCTTGTGGATGCGGACATCTCAGTTGTCGCTCCCGTCACGGATGCCGAGATCGTGGGCCTCGTGTGTGGCCAGGGCAAAGACGAAGAGCTGTTGGATGAGGAACTCCGAAAGGTACCCACGACTGGAGAAAAGCGAAACATGCTTCATCTTCTTCGCAACAAGGTGGAGTGCGGCAGCGGCGATGACAGCCTTATGCGGTGCTTGAGGCAGTTGGAGGTTTTTTTAATGCCTGGCAAAAACGCCCGGCAAACTGATCGCCAGTCTTTTTTCATGTTTCAGTAAGCTTGGATAATACGCAAGGTTTGTTTCATTTAATATATATTTGTGAAAGCCTTCCACACTGTTCCTGTGTACTTTCAAGGTTACTGTTACTCTTTTTTATGGCTCCCGCGTTTTTATTGAATTTTTTCGCCGTCCCGTTGACTTCGTCATAACGAGGGATTACTGTATTTGCACAATTTGCTGAGAAAAGAAGAGTGCTTCGAATGCATCTTTTTCGCCATTAGCCACCAGCCTCGGTGGCGTACCAGCACTGATGTCCGAGTGAAATGGAATATTGTGTTTTCTGTTTGCACGTCTGATTTATCTGCTGTTTCTGGCTTGGCCCAGTTGGAAAATAAAAAGATAAAAGTCACTGTCAAGGCTTAAAGGGGTATGGAAACAAAATTTTAGCGCCAATCTTTTTGCATATATATGGTCTAGGGACAGGCACCACCTCGGAAATATCAATATCGCGCTGTAAAAGACAGGAGAACTAATTTTAAACCTAATTAAACGATTTCAAATTCACATCTGGTGGATGGTGTGAAAGTTCTTGTGACATCACTGGTGGCATAGGAGCAGCGCCGTTCTGCGGAAATAAGGCGTGCCGGCAGAATTAGCCTAGGCCTGAACGCGTTTGCAAAGCCTTGGCGGAGAAAGCCAAAGCGTAGTTAGCCACAGTGAGCTCGTTCTTGTTGCGGCTCTCTGCACGACACGACACGAGCATGCTTCTGGTTCTGAAGGTTTCCAGCTGAATGTACAGGGAAAAAAACCAAGGAGTGGAGAAAAAGAGATACACACTGCTGGACTATCAACCATTTACTGAAATTCTTTTTCATCTACCCTGATGACTTATAACCATTGAGTACCCAGGGGTAACTTCTTCTTCGGTATGATATTTGGTGGCTAGCGTTCACATGTTCCTGACTATACTCTATTTCACCTTATGATATACCACAGAGAAGGCTACGAGCGCGAGCTTCTTGCTCGAGGGCACGTTTCGGCGGCACAACCTCTCGTGCACTAAGGGCTGCTGCCAACGCTATGAGCTCGCGCTTGTAGCCTTCGCTGCGGTACAACATAAGGTGAAACGGAGCACAGGTTGTTACAGGTCGCAAATCGTCGATGCGCCACCAAGTGGCAACGCTCGTAACCACAACATCCACGCCGTAACCTTTCCCGACTGGCACAAGTGACGTCACGAATGCGCCGAATATCCCAAGATGCATCGCGCTCTCCGATGGCTGGTTTTCGAGCGCGCGCCCAATCGGGCCACTCAGGGTGAAAAATATAGCCATCCGTTCAAAATAAGAACGTGCAATTATGATTTACGGATATCATTGATCATACCTATTTCTGACCATAATAGGTGTATTTCAAGTTTTGCTTCAGTATCCCCACAGCGCTTCCACAACATTCATTCCACACCATCAAGATCGCCGTTCTTTGCAGACGTTGGGTAGGAGCTCGATCTGAGGATGAGGGGACCTCTGCCAGGCCAACCATACCCCCCCCCTCCTTCCCTGTCCCGGATGCGCTCTTATGGCACTGACAGTTATTTCTAATTACTAGTTCCCTCGAGCTGCTACTTCTGCGGTGTGAAACTGACGTGGTGAAACAAACCCCTGTGCACATAGGATACTGGCATGGCCGCGAATGACGTTATGGGCAAGCATGTCTAGGCTCTAGGGCGCACAGTCCTTGGATATTACTACTAGGCGAGATTGTCGCGCGTTGACGCCACCAAGCGGCAAGGCTCGTAACTGCAGCACCCTTGGCCGTGCAGGAACTCTTGACGTCACGAGCGCGATACGCATTGCGCTTCTCGCTGCCCGACTTTGAAACGAGGGGTAGAGAGCTCGCGTTCACGTCCTTTCGTTTCCGTACCCCTTTAACTGAGGTGCCCACTCACCCAGCCTTAACAGTGCAATTTTTTAGGCAGCCTTAGATAAATGGAGCGAAGTGATTTCGAACAAAGTAATTTCGAGGAAAGTGAGTTTGAAGGAAGTGATTTCGAGCAGGTAAATCCTGGTCTCACGGTAGCTGAATGTGCTTTGTCACGGCCTCGTGCCCTTGTATGGTGGCAGGCTGGCTACTACTCAATGAGGAGAACTCTCAACTTCTGGGGCCAGCACTTTGGTACTAGTAAGTAACAAGCACTATAGAGACACGCATCAACCATTTATTTGGAATGCTCATCTTCAGGGCCACAATAACCTAGTACTCATTCTAGATCTCTTCACATTGTTCCCTACACCCTATACCTTTGCAGAGATGACTTGATGTAAAGACATTTTCGACAAACAAACAACATGCATCACTACAAATAACAAAATGTCAACGACTGCAAGACCCCTCAACGGAAGACACTAGGAACGTTTCGTAGATCCCTCGCAAGAGCTTAGCATTGCTAGCAGTAGCTAGCGGGAGCTCGTACCATCATGTTGAGCACGAGTCCGCAATCCGCAGCTTACGATCTACGAAGTCTCTACTTTCTTGGCTAGAGTTGGACGGCAGCAGAGTCTGTGACTCACCCGCTGCTCCTGTTGCTTGGGAGCCTTCTGGGCTGTTTCCTGCCTCCCTGTCTTTTCGTGTCGAGCAGCCTGCTCCTGCTCCTGCTCAAGTTCCCTGCGTGCCTGGGCCTTGATGGCAGACGCAGACCTGTCCAACGAGTCAGGGGCATCGCCGTTCAATTTTGGCATATCAAGCTCGAGACATTTTGCAGACCAAAAATGGTGCATTAGCAGAGCTTGAGGATGACGACAAAACGTTTTAAGACGTCAAGAACTATCTTGTCAAGGTGTCTCTAGGAGGCTTTTTAAGCATCTAATACAGTGGTTCTCAACCACTGATGTTTGGGGGTACCCCTTCTGGATCGAAGGAAGTGGTGGAGAAATCCATCCACCAGGGAGGAGGGGGGGCACTGGAGGATTACAATGACAAAACGGTAAATGAATAAAACAAATGGCATGCAAACCAACTTTGAAGCTAAACAGAGCACAGTCAACCTTACTCATTCGCTGTGCATGGTCTGGTCTATTTAGCTTTGTAAAAGAACCAGCAACAAAAATATTTTTTTATTACCTTGCCTAACAGATGGTTTAGGACTCTGTGAAATCTAAGGTCTTCAGGGGCCCCAAAAAGTTCCCAGAACCTCCATTTGAGAACCTCAGGTGTGTCTGAAATACTGAGGCTGGATCTAAAATGGGCCGTAAAAATTGCCACGTGCACGTAGCAATCTAAACTTTCCGTCAGGGTTGTATTTCACAGATGGTTTTTACCTTGTAAAATTTAAAAGTGTAGCTCCATTTTTGTAAAAAAAAAAATTGGGCCAAAAAACTTGCCAGGCTCAATGGTGGACGGCGATGCGATGACCAAGTTGAGTGACAAGGCGTGTTTGGCGCCCCGCCACTAGACTTGATAAATGGCATTGGAAGGTGTGGCCGACCAGTCAAAGAAAGCAGACGACGCGCATGCAAAGTCTGTCAGCAGCAAAAGCGTGGTCGTTATGCAACCGCATTTTCTTTTATTTTTTTCACTTTAAGTTTTGCTATCATCTGCATTTATTTTTAAACCAGAGGTACATTACAAAAAGATTATGTTCATTGTAATAGACTATGGTCGTCGTGAGCAGTCTTGATAAGCAGGTAGTGCCATCTATCAATATGTGCGCAAAACGCATCCTGTCCCTCAACTCGGCCATGCGCGTCGCCGTCCGCCATTGACCCTGGCAGGTCTTTTTTAGCCATCACAAAAGCGGAGCTCTGCTCTGTAATTTTACAAGGTAAAACCCACCTGAGAAATACACCTGACGAAAGTTTTAGATTGCCACGTGCAACTGCCGATTTTTATGGCCCATTTAAGATCCAGTCTTGATATTTTGGGCACCCCATATGTCTTGGTGTTCAGTGTGTAATGAACATGTCAATTTCAAGTTGCATCTACCCACCTGTTGGCATCTATCTATGAATTGGATAAGACATAAGGCAACATCTATGAATGGGATAAGACAAAAATTTTTGACCAAACATTATACTGCAGAATAAGAAAAAGTTATATAGGGTGGCCACACTGGACCCTAGCGCTGTAAAATGAGCTGGAAAAAAAATGAAGTAAATGCTCCATTTCTCTATTTTCATGGAATGTGCAATTAAGTGGTGTATTTTACCTGGTAAAATTTCAAAGCATGGCTCCCTCCCTGCATAAAATTAGACAAAAACTTGCCAGGGTCAACGCGCAGTGAAGACATGAAACGCACAGCTGTCTGCACCTATCAGAAGATGGCGCCATGAGTTACATCTATCACTAACTCGGTTGTAGGTTCTTGATAGTGGATTGGACGTTCTTCCTCAGTCAGCTCGAGGAAGGGGGCTTGCATTCGGCCTTGGCAGCAGTGAGCGGATCAGATGGGAAAACTTCTAGTTTTAAACTTAATAAATTTAAGCGTAGACATATACAAATAAATGAAAGTTGACGGAACGAATACAAAGGCCTCGACAACTTAAGCCGTAGACTTAAGGCGCGTTCACACTCTTGCAACCGAGTACGACCGAGAAAGACTTCTTGGGACCGGATGCACTGAGCGGAGCTGGTCCTAAGAGATCGCAAGAGGCTTAAAAACCGGTTTGGTCTCTCTCGGTCGCACTCGGTCGCAAGAGCGTGAACGGGCCTTTAGCCGCTATCAGAGAGTGGCTCGTATCTCTCCAACGGTACCGAATCAAAGACCCCTCTCTCTGTCTCGCTTTGCTCTTATGGACTTTCCACCTGTCCCTTTTTCCAGTTTCCCCGTGAGGGTCAGCACTGTCATCCGGTGCACGAGTCCAGGGACAGAACAGTGCCGGGCATAGGAGACCCAGACGAGTCTGACCCTCAGGCACAACAAATAACCCCTGGCACTTCGGACACCGGCTGGAGGGACAAGTGCAGACAGGCGAAGCACAGCGCCTGAGACAATTTTAGGGAGGCAATCTTTACTTGCGAAATGGAAGCGGCAAACAGTTCCTGCAAAATAAACATTAGGGTGGTGGCACTGACAGCCCACCACAGAAAATACGTTAGACGGAGAGCCTCCCAGTTGCAGCCAGCTTCGTGAGGTGCGGGCAGCCCCACTGCCACAAGCTGTTCCCGAGTTCCCAAGAGCCCCCAGTGGGGCACCCGCCCCACTGGGGGCACCTGGCCCCACACACAAACTTCTCCCACTCGGAGGGCGTAAACATTCTGGAACCTTACACTATACTGGGCATACCAGTTTGGGTTGGCCTGGGCGTGGCTGCGCTCTAGCCGTGCCAGCGCAGCTGCGGCTGCCCTCTGTGCTTCCTGGGATGGCGGGGCAGGTGCTCTGGTGGGTGCGGCGACCCGGCTTGGGCCGGGCGGGGCGCGGCTGTGCGCACCTTCGCCAGAGAGCACGTGCCCTGGCCCGGCTTGCTTGAACTTGAGCTGTGCTTTGCGCTTGTTGAAGAAGTCCCGGATGGCGGCCATCAGATGCGTGGAGAGTGCTCCTGCGGTAGCTTCAGCAGGTGTGCCTCCTTCTTGAACTCTTCCAGGCTCCGGTTGGATGCTGCAGAGCAGATGGAGCAAACATGTGTTCCACTGGCCCACCAAGCACAGGACACTTTGGACATTTTGAACAGCTAGAATGAGCCAGCTTATCGTTACACCTTTGACCATAATTTATGACAACATTCATATCTATAATTATGTAATGCTGTGGGAATATGATCAACATAGCTCCTGGCGCATCAATGAACAGAGATCACGTGAAAGCGCTACACAATATTGATGTCACTTTTGTATAAATTGAATTAGGCATATGCTAGGGCAACACACTGCCTTTTCTTATGCGCCTAGCTCACAGAAATAAATAGGGGACTTGTATTCTGAGGAAATGAACAAACATTAGTGATTTACACATACGAAATCAATGGTCCTGCAGTTGACACGCCCCAGCGAAGAACTACAATTCAGAACTATAGCTGACCTTTGACGAGCAATGGAAACATATAGCGTCTAATTCAAATTGCAGGCACATCTGCCAGGATTGAACTCCTGTGCTGAGGTCACCGTGCACCTACACCATCATGTGGAAAGTGGCTGGGCATACAGTTGAGCACACAAAAGCTGTCAATTAAGACGCTCATAATTGATTCACGGTCAGATTAAGCAATGATTTGGCGAGGTAATCCAATTCTGAAAGGATTTTGCCAGCTGCAAAACGAATCACGGCGCCCACTGTAAAACGATGACATGGCACTTTTAGGGTGTCGGCTGATTTCACCAGCCGCAGTCACAGACCCTCCCGGCTGCGACCAGCTGAGATCGGGGTCGGGCTGAGCTTACCCGTTTTATCGAAGCGCTCGGAGATGCGCTGACCGTGCTGCCTCCACGCGTAGGCGATCAGGACCAGCGTGACGGCCAGAATGACCAGCAGGCTCTTGAGGATGTTCAGCTGGAACTCGTCGGCGTCCGAGAAAGTGGCGGACACCGTGCGTGCCGCCTCGGTGAATAGCCACGTGAGGGTGCCGCTGGCCGTCCACGGGGCGGGAGGGCTCGGGACTGCTGCCGCTGCGTCCTTCCAGCTGTTGAAAAACCAAAACATCGATCCGGACAACGGGAAATTCGGAAGCGGCCCAGCTAAGGGCACTCCCCCGTCTGGCTGCAGAATCGCGTTCGAATGTTCGGCACCCCAGCTGGAGCGGCTGGAGCAGCTGGAGTCGAAACCAACGTCGAAACCGAAACGCTCGTGAAGAAGCCCAAAGCGACGTCACCTGCGATCCCCATTGGGATTGGATCAACGCGGTCACGGGATGTTATTGCGACACGCTATTGGACGTCAAAATCAAAACACCGCTGCTGTTTTTTTCCGGTGGTCTTCGGCTCTACAGGTGCTACAGGTTCCGCTGTGACGAACATTTTAACCGCTCAACGTTCTCTGTGTACGTTTTTCCTGAGTAGCTGGATCGCCCAGGTGCGTTTCGTGAGTTCGTTTCTGGCCGTTGACACCACTGATCTCTAGGTTGACACCCACAAGAAGAAATCGCATAGCGTGAACGGTTCAAAACGTTCAGGAGTCTTGTTTCGGTTTCGGAAAGGGTAAGTAGGGTTGGTAGGGTAGAACTAGAAAGGGTCGAAAGTGCCAAATGACCGTTCTCGCGTGCGGGGTAGCAAACCTAATTTAATAAGCGTTCGTTTATAAAATGTTAAAAAATCAAAGTATGTCGAAAAGAATACATTTGATTTTAAGCTGCTATTAATTTTCAAGCATATGGCGGCTGTAAAGTTTATTATTAGATTATATTTACTGCGGTCTATTTGTTGTCTGTGAAGATGGCGGCGGACGTTCGGTGTCCCGTCGTGTTGACCGGCGACGATCTGGGGGTGTTGGAAGAAGGGGATGCCATCCCCGGGGACTTCGAGCCGGGCGCCACCAGGGAGCCCATCATCCTGTCGGCGGACTACTCGTCCGACTCCGAAACCCCCGCCGAGTTTGACGAGTGCGGCAAGGCGGCGCGCTCCAAGAGCACCATCAACGAGATCGAGAGATCTGCGTCTCAAGAGGACCCACACACGGCCGACGACGTAAGTGCCTACGAAGGGAGTCTGCGGGGCGGGCCATTCACAACCCTTTCGTGTGGGTGCCCACCGTAAAATCCCAAAAGAAGGTCCACCCATGAATGATGGCTTACTTAATTTTTCTTTTGTCTCCACCGTTGATTCGAAATTGTACGGGAGTACGTGAGATCTGCCTAGTGCAATGGGATTACTAACTGCTAACTTTGCGTCTTCGATGGTCTCAAAAGAACCTTTTAAACGAATCAATGAGTGGAGTGCAATGAACCTTCTCGAAAACGTGCCCTTAGATGATGCGCTTTTCTTACTCGAATTTCGTGGGTGTAGGTTTCCTAAACGAAATGCAGGGAAAATAAACAAAAACGAACGGGCATAAAAAACTGCGTTGTTGCAGGACCACATAAACAAAAAAAGAAATCGACGGAGTTCAACTAAACTTACCACAAAGGTGTCTTAATAAGTGATGCATTTATCATATTAATATTTGAATGGGGCTATAGGCACGACGTCGTGCACCTTGACCGGAAATGGCTATGACCAACTCATGTTTACAAGCATAACAGAGCGCTTCTAGCGGACGCCACCGGCGCCGCACATGCGCGATAGAGCGCAGAGCCGTATATTGGGAGAGTCTGGCCAGTGGGTGTGGCGAGGAAAGCGCTGGAGAGGAGCAGAGTGAAGGAAAGGGAAGAGAGTGCCGAAGGAGAGAGAGAAAGAAGGGAGCAAAGAGGAGATGACCGCCATTTTGATGCAACGCTGTCGGCGCAGAGTACTGTTGAGGCTACACGTCGTCTGCTACGGGCTTCTTTCTTTTTCGCCTGAATCAAAGTTTGCGTTTAAACGAGGAGAAACTTCATTCAATAGCTTTTTAAGCAACCGAGGAATAACACTCATTATCTTGCCAGAGCCTGCCAAATAAAAGGAAAGAACAGAAATTTGGCTGTCGATCCCATCCATTTCGCCGGGTGAATGAATGAAAATGGCGGCCCTCCCCGCTCAGCTGGGAGCAGCCGGGAGCTCACGCGCATGCGCTCATGCCTCTCGCTCTGTGCCGCAGGCTAATTGGTTCACTCAGGAGGGGGGCGTTATGGCGGCGAGATCATAAACTTGTCAAACTCTCCCCATATACGGCTCTGATGGAGCGGAAGCAAGAAGCTTACCGTCGGCCATAAACAAATCATTGAAATGCAATGTCGTCGTCATATAATTCCCCGTGCTCCTTTTCGGATTGGAATTGTTCATTCTACGTCATATTTGGCAATGACTGACAACTTGAGCGGCCTCAGTAAAATTACCGAGGCTCATTACCCCGCTAAACTTTGCATAAATAGTGTGACATGCGGCGATTCATTCCACGTGAACGCCGCAGAATAGACGCTAAAGCCCGATTCCCATGATGAGATTCCGCTTGCAATTTTCAGTCGGGACGTCGCTCGGGCTAGAAAAGCGTGAACCGTAGCTGAGATGGTCGACGTCGATACTGAAATTCACAAGCAGAATTGGACCAAGTGATTCAGGAATAACAAGTTGATGATGGCCACTGGTAACAATGATCAACATCTCCTTATATCTACTGTTTACCCTAACGAACCTTCAAACTTAAGTCTTTTGAGGCCTGCACTTACTTATCGCAATTACCGGGCCAGCGTTTGGTGTACGGGCCGGTGTCGTCTGAAAGAGCAGACGGCAAGCAGAAACGTTTGAAAGAGCAGACAACAGTTCGAATGATCAGGCAGCCGTTTGAACTTGAAGACGCGCAAACGTAGTCCGCAGGTTGTCCGTGCAACTCTACGGTTTTCCCGCGTTCATGTTGGAACAAAACAAATAAATCTGATGACCACAAGTATCCGTGAATTCAACCGAAAGTGCTTCCTGCTCAAGCAATCTTGGTCCGACGTTGTCTGGTTTTCCTTTTTCACAGCAACTATCCGCGTTCTCGGACGAACCGAGCACATGAAAACTGACCTTCAAACCTTTCTCGACTCTTTTGGTACAGCACCAATTGCAACATTTTAACAAAAAAACAATTTTTTTTTCCATTTTTTTAAAGACATTGCAGGAATGCACGTTTGACACGGTGACTTTTACCCACAGCCCCAGACTGGAAGTGCACTCAATGCGCCACCACCGCGCTTTGACGTAACAGAGTTGAGTTTGTGTATATGCACAATGTGGAGAGATCATGCCATTTGAGTCACCCTTGTCGGACAGCACGTGTATCACTGGGAATTGAAAGGTTAAAATGCGAACTGAAACAGGATGAAGAAAGATACGTACGACATGGAAAAGCGCCAACTTCCAACTGATTTAATGTAACACCAAACATCGTCAAACTGTCGATCCCCATCACCTATACGCTCCCCGAAGCAACAAGATAAAGGTTCCTATCACTCATCACATGTAGCCAGCAAGATTCACAACATCTCTGTTCAGCAGATAAAGGGATGGCATGCTTACACATTTATCAGTCGCTTTTTTTTATATAGAAAGCTTCAATTATTTCCCTTTCTTCTCATTCCCTCTTTTAAGAAACCTTGTGCGCTCTAACATTGGTTCACACCCATATCATTTGCAGTGCTCTGCAAGATGCCCACCCAATTTATTGCGTGCAGCAAGCTTGTGTTCCCACGCTCTTTCATTAAAACATCGGCCAGTCTGACCGATGTAAACTTGGCCGCAACTAAAAGGAATCTTGTATACCACCTTAGTCACGCATTCGGTGTATCTTGTTACATGTTTTTTGGGCATGAAACAAACTTTTATTTTGACATCGCGGAGCATACTTTGAATGTTTGCACAGAGCTGACCCTGTGTCTAGCAGCCATGTTCTGTAAATTGTGGGACACCTTCTGCAGATATGGGACCACCTGCACTGGCATCTTGTCTCTTCTTTCATGACATTTGTTGCTGCCCTCTCATTTAATTTTCTGTAGGAGCCTTTCACACACACTTGATACCAGGTACTTCGGGTAACCGGCACTCTTCAAGCGTGCAACCTGATGATCAAAGCTGATCGGCAGTCTATGCTTACAGCTTTTTGTAATGGCTGCGTGAAGCAGGTAGAAGCAATCCCACGTTTTACAAGCTTCGAGTGGGCACTGCTGAAAGAAAGGAGGCCTTTCTTAGCGCCTCGTGTCGTCGTTACCTACTTCTTTTGTCCCTGTCTTTCGGCGCTTCCTTCCAGTCTTTCTTAGATCATGGATTATAGCTCCAGCACAAACGATACTTAGTGAAAAAGAGCTGCAAGTCTAGAAACTGAATACCGCCATCATTAGGCATTTCCTAAGTGAAGTTCAGTCTGCCTGACATTGATCTAAACAAATGAACGATTTCTGCCGCAGCATGTTCCATACAATTTGCTGTATGTTGCCCAAAAATAACCGAAAAATCATCCACATAGCAGAAAATCTTGACCACATTCATTTCATGAAGAGCCCCTAATATGCGCTTGTCCATGGCAGAAAGATGAATGTCACAGAAAACGGGTGCCACCGAAGGACCAATACAAATACCATTGTTCTCTATGTAGAAGTGTTCATCAAAAGCAATGGTCGTGGACTGCAAGTAAAATTCTAGCAGCGCCATAAAATGGTCGCAATTAACACCCATAGAATTCTGGAACCCCAGTTCACCTGACTGCTTTATGCTCTCACGAACGGCGGTGAAAAGTCCATTATTGGGAATTGAGTAAAACAACTCTTCTGCATCCACAGAAAATGCTGTGGCAGCATTTTGCAACCCTGTTTTCAAAACTTGAACAAGTTCTCTGGAGCTCCAAACCAGAAAGGGATTGTCAATGACTAATGCTCTTAGGTGACGCTGTAAGTACCTGCTGACCTGAGCCTGCCAGGCACTCTTCTTTGAGGCAGTGACTCGTAAGGGACAGCTAGGCTTATTAGTCTTGCCGGTAAAGAAGACTTCCAAAAAAACATTTTCTGCCTTGTTAACAGCCCTTCTTACTCCATCAAGGTTCACGTCTTTGAGCAACCTGAGCGCAGGCGTTTTTTACTTCTTCGGGGGAAACTTGACGGTCTTGAAATTCTTTTCAATAGCCGCTAATGCCTTGTCCTGGAAAAGGTCTTCTTTCATCACAACAAGACCACCCTCTTTGTCGGCTTGTACCACGGTAAGGCTATTGTCCCTCATAAAGTTGCCTATTGTCCCTCATAAAGTCGCTTACAGCATTACCTAAGAGCACTAGTCATTGACGATCCCTTCCTGGTTCCAGTTTGTCCAGTGATGGTATCAGCTGGTTCTAGACGCTTTAAGAAAGCCAAGTATCATATCTGTAGTGTATGACACACATGCATTTGAACAGAGCAATAAAATGTGGGTTTGCCCCTTGCCTTATGACCTACCGCTCTGCCCTTGATGAGGGTGAGGAGGGACTTGTTTCGGGGTCCTACAGTGGGGTTAAACATAGTAAACCCGGGCGTTCCTCTAGCACCCGAATCCTCTCAAACGTTCCTAGACTTTGGTCATTTCTTTTCCAGTTTGCCCACACACCGTGGAAACTGAGTTAGCATTGTGGAAAGCTTGCTTCGACAATGTGGCACAGGAAAGTAGGTGCCGATTATAAGGTCGAGCAGTCCCCCTTTTCCCACTAGTGTGTTCAATAGTGTCGTCATAGTTACTAGGCTTTTGGGCTAGTTTTCCTTGACGAGAGTGTTCGAGAAGTGGACGTGGCTGCCCTCGCGGTGAATGCATTTTCCCGCAGCCAGGGGGCGAGCCTTCCCTGCCCGTAGAAGAGGTGCCCCCGAGTGAGCCAACCCTGGAGGCATGGGACAGTGACCAATGGCGACAGCACAAGAAGCACGTGTTTGTGCTCAGCGACGCCGGCAAGCCCATCTACTGCAGGTAGCCATGCTCCCTTCCGCGAGCCGGCCAAACCCTTTGCTGCTTGGGATTTTCGCGTGGGCTGAAAGGTTGTTCTTCCATGTGTGTGCTCGTGTGGCGGAAGTGCCTTATGCTTCTTCGTATTGCTAAAAACATGGATGTTTCGTGTATGTTTCTTTGTACACACACGCAACGGTGATACTGTTTCAGTATTTTGTGGCAGTGTACGTAATATACGGAAAAACTTAAATTCTTTGGATTCTTTGGTTGCGTATCTTTCATGGTATGAGTTTGATATGGCTGCAAAACAATAAAACAGCATTTATACGCGACTATAATTTGTCTCCGTTTCTATGCAATTCATGTAACCGAGGAGATGGTGTAGCGCTTTTGGTAAAAGAGGACATTGATTACCAGGTTTTATCTGCTGCATCTTTCAGTGATGATGTTATTGAAGCCCCTTTTTTTTATAAAGCTTGATTGTGGCCTGATAATTGGCATAATGTACTGCCCTCCCAGCTCAAGTGTAGCATCTTTTGTTGCGAAATTTCAGTCAGTCCTTGCAAAGTCATCTCACGGATATAATGGTCGCATTTTTGTTGTTGGAGGTTTCAATATTGATTTGGCTAATGATGCTCAAATATGACTTTAGTTTTCTTCTGGAATCATTTAACTTATGCAATACAGTCGAACCCGTTTATAACGAACCCGGTTAGAACGAATTATGGTCTATATCGAACACACAAAATTTTAATATCAATATTCATGAGAAATATACTTTCTATAACAAACCACACATCGGATATATCGAACTGCGAGCGCCCGCTACCGCCCCCGCGGAGACGCGCGGGCTTCCCTGCAATGCACAGAGTGACAGAGGACAAGAGAAAACCAAGAAAAACACGATGGCCCTTGAGAAGATGAGTCACAAAACCGACTGCGAACGCCCGCAACCGACCCCCGCAAAAGCGCGCTGGCTTCCCTGCCATGCACGGAGCGACAAAGGACAAGAGAAAACCAAGAAAAACACGATGACCCTCGAGAAGATGAGTCACAACACCGACTGCGAACGCCCGCAACCGGCCCCCGCGGAAGCGCGCTGGCCAATGATAGAGCAAGCGTGCAATGACGTTCTGATGACATCATCCTGCAGCCGTACCAGGCCGGACATGGCTCTCTTGTTCCTAGCATTTTGCCGAGGAGGCTCGTTGTTCTTTGTGTCCTTCCTGTTCCCGCAAGAGATGGCGACCAAGGTGCGTTCATCGTTACCGTTCTCTACCAAGGTGGAAATAATCCGGCGCGTTGAACGCGGCGAGAAGAAGTCAGAAGTCGCCGCATCCTTCAAGATCGCCAGAAGCACGCTGAGTACGATACTGAAAAACAAGCCAGCGATCCTGCAAAAGGCCCGAGATCGACCGAACGCCGACGGAAAGCGCATTCGGGCGCCTGCCTTTGACAGAGTGGAAAAGGCGCTGTACGCGTGGTTTTTGGATAGGCCCCATGTTACAGCAGAAAGCAAAAGACTTTGCCTTTTTGCTCGACGTTCAAGATTTTAGTGGCGGATCCGGACGGCTTCAACGGTTCAAGGAACGTTACGACATCGTCGGCAAAGTTGTCGCCGGCGAAAGCTGCCTCGCGATAACACGGCTCTGAGCGCCGGCGTGAGGCTCGCTACGCTCGGCAGCCTTCGCCGCTATTCCGCGCGGTTTCCTTTCATCTCTCTCGCTTTTGCTGTCCTCACGAAATAGCGATATTTGCTATAACGAACTACTTGATATATCGAACTAAAATGCGTGTCCGATGGAGTTTGTTATAAACGGGTTCGACTGTATTACATTTAAACCTCGCATTACTAGCCAATCTGGTACATTAATTGACCATGCCCTTGGTAATAGTGATACGACTGCGAGTGCCGGGGTTTACTCTGACCCAATAGCCAACCGTTTGCCTATATTTATTGTAATTCCAAGACAGTTGCCAAGGTCTGTAAAATCTTCCTTTACTGAAGTGAATACCAAAATAAATGATGCCCAACTTCGAAGTCTACTAAAACAAAAACATTTCTATGCCACGTATGTAGGGTTCTTCGTTTTCGGGTTTTATTTTTTGTCATTAAGTATTTTGACATTCGCTAAGTTTCATCTTGTTCCAATGGTTGTGTCCCCATTGTCCTCCGTGCGTGCTCCTTTAGGATTGCCCTTCCTCTTGTGTGCCCGCTAGTTTAGAGGTTCAAAGCTCCCAAAGTCTTCAATGGGTTTCCTCTGTTCCAAAAATAATGTCATGGATGGGAAAATGAAGACAAAATCCAAAACTGAAGAACCCTACCCATATAATCCCGACACCTGTATTGCCTACCAAAACTTCGGCACTACTCTTAAAAGTGCAGTGTGAGCAGACTTTCTATAAATATACCGGACCTGTCCTTGGACAACGAGCAGAATTCTAGAAGTATTGAAAAAAAAAAGATAGTTGGTACCATAAATGGAAGCAACATAAAAGCAACAATTACTACCTAGGCCAGTTTAAATGTTTGAGAAATAAATCTGTCTCTGTCGTGAAAAAAAAAGGAAAAAAGAATACTATTCCTCGCTTATTGAGCGAGCCGAGGGGGAAACTAGAAAGATATGAGGTAAAGGATGCAATTGGCCTTCACTCAAACAAGCATGTAGTACTTCCTAACTTCATAGAACAGGTGACAGTAGATACTTTTAGTGACTATCTTACCAACACAAGGCCTTTCCCAGCAGCTCAACCGCTACACGTTTCTCATCCCCCACAGCTATTGAAACCAGTCACAAATAGCTTCGTCGTGCGGGAAATTGAAATGGCTGAAATGACGTCGACAGTTGGGAGTCTTTAAGTGAATAAAGCGACCGGATGCCACACATTTCCTGTTAATTTAGTTAAAGAAAACATTGATATTTTAGGTATTCCTCTCCTACACTTGTTCAATCACTCGGTAGAGAGTGCGACATATCCCTACGAACTTGAGATAGCTAGAGTGGTGCTTGTGTTCAAAGATGACTATCCTTCTGAGCCGTCAAGTTAAAGACCAATATCGGTTTTGAGCATAATTAACTCTATATTTGAAAAGATACTTTGTAGGTGTTTAAAAGAATTTATAAGTACAATACTTCTTGCCTTCCTCCACCGCCTCCACCATTCTTGTTTTAACCCAACTTCTTAAAAAGGCTCTTCATGACAATAAGATTGCTGTGGCTGTGTATTTATATATAAAAGAGGCTTCTGACACAGTTAATTACACTGCCCTACTAAATAAGTTACATAATTATGGTTTTTGGGGCAAAATATCCAACTTTTTCAATATTCATCTTTCTGATAAAAGACAATCAGTGATAATTTATTTCTACCCCACTGTGTTAACTAGTGCGCCACAGGGCTCAGTTCTTGGGCCAATCTTTTTTTATCTTTACGTCGGTAACTTTCCGTTGTTATTAAAATACTCGGACGCATTAATGTATGCGGATGATATGGCACTGGTTTTTGTAGAAGAGTCGATAGCTGAACTACAATGTAAAATAATTGAGGAACTTTCCAGGGTTGCAACATAGTTCACAAGTAATCAACTTACCCTTAGTATAAAAACAAACAAAGTACACAATGTTTCACTCAAGGAAAAAAGAAATATACCAATACAAGTTTTTTAATGCACTTAGATAATACAGGAGTTGAAACATGTTTCTTCCTAAAAATATTTAGGAGTCCTATTTGAATCAAATATGAATTGGAAAAGTAGAATTAAAAACGTGTTCAAAGCTAGCATACGGATGTTACACACTATTGATGGCACATGAATATTTTGAATCTTTCAATTTGCAAATACTTCATTTTTCACTTGTGCACAGTCATCTAATGGTGAATTTCACTGGTAGATCCAAACAGGGATGAGCAAAATACAAGCAAATATGTATCGAAATACAAATACAAAATACTTTGTCAAAAATGTATTTAATTACAAATCTAATTACATTTCCAAAAAAGCTTTTAAGGGGGGACGCGGGCTTTGAAAACCGGAAAATCGCGAAAAAGTCGATTTTTAGAAAACCTTATTTTTCGGTTGTATATCTCATAAACTACCTTCTCTGTAATTATCAGCACCAAATACAATGGGGAAATATTTAAAAACAATTATTTACGAGGCCTGAATAGCATCCAAGTGACGGTCAAACGTCAAAATCAACCCCAACTTCGCGCGCTCGCCATTTTCAAAGCGTTGGACCGACGGCCGCCATCTTAGTCTTGTTTTGAACGTGAATTCTTTCTCTTTTTTTTGCCAGCTCCCAAAATGGCGTCGGCCGCGTGGTTACGGCACTGTCGCCGTTCTTCCATGTCGCAATCGCAAGAACGCGATTGGACAGAGCGCGCGCTCGAGGAGCGTGCGGGGGAGCGCGCGACTGCTATTGGCTGGGACGCGATTTCTCCGCGCGCGGAGCGCTCTCCTCCTCCGTTTCTCCTGCTGTTGCCGCTCGCGTCGTCTGCTTTTGGTAGTGGTCTGCTTGCACGCGCTCTTTTAGTCAGTTCCACTTCGTTTTTCGCCATCTTTACGATCGTTTTCCGAACTTTCTTTGAGTAGTTTCGTGTAGCGTGCCCGTCTGTTTCGTGGTCGCACACGATGCGGGGTTCGAAGTACAAGACGGTGCGCGCGTTTGGCGCGCGGAAGCGGTCCATGAAGTTAGTGCGGATGGCGAACTAGGAAGTTTCTGCACGGCGTGCCGTCAATGATGATCGCGTCAACACCTCCAGTGATGGATTTTCTGTGCCATCGGCTGTCGTCGAGGAAGAACGCATCGCCCCGCTCACGCCTGGAGTGCCGAGCATGCCGACCGTTGTGGTTCCTCCCGAGATCGCGGGTCCCAGCGCCCGTCTTCCGCCTGCCGCGACAAGTAGGAGCGCGTCTTCTAGCACCCATCTGCGGACGCATTTCCTGACACGTGAGGAGATCGAAGCAGAAGCTAGACATTGTGATATTGCTCAAGCCGAACTTGGAGCTATGCCAGCAAATTGCACTGCATGAAGCGGTGTTTAGGTTCAACGCCGGCTGCTACAAGGCAACTGCAGAAATATCGGTTGCAGTGGGACTTCAGCCGACCCATCTAGCCCTCCAACGAGCTGCCGGGAAAGATGCCCTACGTCTGCACAAGGCCAGCAAACGACATCAAGAGAATGTGGAAAGGCGGAACAAGAAGAAAGTGCACAAGAACACTTCTGACTATTCTGCAGGGTCATTCTAAAGCTGAAAATCTGGGTGCAACTTTCAAGTGCTGTTTTCTCAGAATGGATTTTTTCACTGTCGTGGCTGCTTGTCCCAGCGATATCTCAGGAACTGATGAATGGATTTTTGTGCTGTCTTTTTTATTCTGTTCTCTAATAACTTTGTGAGGGCATAACAGAGCCCTTTTTTTAGAAAACTGCGCTAAAAATTTATAATAAAAAAATTAAATTTGGTGAATGTGGGTTTCATGACTACACAAAAATTCAAAGTTGCGTTAAAATTTTTCAACAAAGAAATTTAATAAAAGGGCTCTGTTATGCCCTGAGGAATGTATCCAGGGGTAATCATAACAAATTTTACGCCGCTACTACCTTTTTCAAATTCTCCAGACCTGGGATAAGGAATGCATATGGACGATTTTGATAAATATTTGTAACTTGAGAAATAATATGCACAGCTCCATGAAACTTTGCAGTTACTCTTATGTCTGTGCTATAAACACACCCTGTAAATTTCGTTCAGATATCTCTAGAAATAAGAAAGTTCATATTTATTCCCCACCTCCTCCCTTAAGTACAAGATACAAATACAACCAAATGTATTTGGTCTCCTCCAAATACTTTTCCAAATACATTCCTCAAAATTTGCTTCAGCGATTTCAGGGCACCTGCAACGGGATTCTGGGTATCTCATTTTAATTTGGCATCGAACACTCGGGAGTTAGTGTGCGAGGCTCTAGTAACGTAATAGAAATATAATCACAAAAAAATGTAATCAGCTTGGACGTAATAGGTGAAAAAAGTACAGAGCTTCAAGCAGCTTTTTTTGTCGATTACATTTTGGTATAGACCAACAAAGAACCCAGATGACCAAGACGCGCAGCACTAGCTAGAGAATTTTTTATTGTTGCAACTCACACCAGTAAGGAAAATCTGGACGACCCGCGCATTTAGAATGTTCCAGGCAGAAATATGGATGGAAATCAGGCTGGAAAGCATCACAAGTTGTCACAGGCACTTATTTAGCCAGTCAGCCTGTGAACGTCGGTTTCGTCACTATTCTTGCCCTGGACTAGCACCGTAATCACAAAGTCACTAAACGCTTGTGCTTGATTGAGAGACACTGCATTCGGTGCAGAAAGTAGTTTTCTTCCTGCTCTGGACAGTGACAATAAATTTGAGGGATGTATTTTCGCCCACAAAAATTGTATCTAATTACAATTGTATTTCAAATGCCCACGTTTTAGTATTTAAATGCACGCGTCAAATACATTACCCAATTTGTAATTAAATACTGATGCAAAATACACAAAGTATTTGAAATACGTATTTCAAATAGTTGTATTTGAAATACTGCCCATCTCTGGATCCAAAGCACTTTTCAAAATCCGCAAGGAAGGCAAAATTCTGCTCCGTGGGATCCGCTCCAAATCGACAAGCGGAAGGTGGACTCACATTATTGGAGCGACCCACCGAACTGCACGAGATGGCCGGCCGTGAAAAATGGCTGCTGCTCAAACTTGACAAGCAGACCAACACTTTAGCCGATTGATCTTTCCGACGACCAGTGACAACTCTCACTGCTTAGGTGCGGAAACAATACGCAACACAGGCTGGGCGAAAATATTCGTACCACGGAGCCCATGTTACAAAAAACGAGGAAGACATCCGTGTTTGACGCCGTCACATACCTTTCGGCTGCCTCGAAGCATTGGGGCACGCACATTGATTGCCATCGGTGGAGTTCAGATTGCTGGTACGACTTTAATAAACACAAAGAGGTAACAAACCGTCACTTGCACAGTCGTTGCCTAATCTGTTCTTGCTTTATTACACAAGAAAACGCCGGCGGCATGCATTGTAAAAAGGTAAACAATCAGTGACAGAAAATCCAGCTGTCATTCTTTTTCTCGTTCTTCTTCTCACGATCACAGATGTCAGCGCTTACCAATTGCCACGCTCCAGTCCCGGCTTTGTATCCCTGATCTACGCAAGGTAGAAGTGTTTGAGCTGTCACAATCCCGTGTAAACAACCAACGCATCCGAACAGGCCAACTCGACGGCCTGGCCGGTTCGGCGACTGCGGCAACCTTGCCAACCTCGCCGTGCATGCGTACCGCTGAGTTAAAAGCCAGAGATCTACGAGCGGAAGAAGGCCAACTTGAGCCAGATATGCGAGCGGAATATGCGTGCTCCCAATGGAGCGCTTTTGGAGCACTCGTGATCTGCGAGCGGAATTCACCATAAGTTATTACATCGAGTCCTGGGGCAGTACATATCCTACCTACCTAAATCTGGTTATTCGTCTGCAGAAGCGGGTGGTCGTAATAATCACATTCTTAAAACTGACTGCTCCAAGTAGGCCTTTATACCAGTATGTGCGAGTTTTACCTGTTTATCTTTTGTATAAATTAACATTAGCTCAAACTGTTTATAAAATCATAGCATCAAATAAACCATTCTCATAAAGTTTGTGTAATTCTCCAAGGAGACTAATGAGGAATTCTACCAATCTAACTTCAATTTGCTTCCATGTCGAAAGACTAATAGAATATCGAGGCGCACTAATTTAAAATGCAATACCCACCGAGTGAAAAAAAATTCCAACTTCTTGCCGTGTTTAAAAAAAGGATGTTTGATTTAGAATAAGATTTGTGCGAACTACTTCAACACTTTATTAGGTTAGTAATATATATATTTGCTTTTATCTGCTTGCCTGTCACATTGAGAAATTTATTTTTATTTGAACCCCACACTAGCCTCGGAGCTATGGGTCCAGTAAATTTTTGTGTATTTGTAAAAACAAAACTTGTAAATAAAGGGATCGGATTGAATTGGAAGATGCCGGAGTATGGCCCCTGGTGCAGGCACGGCAGCGAGGACCAGCTGGCCAGCCTGGCGGGGGTGATGCAGGCCCTGGTGTCGTGCGTCGCCCTGTCGGGGGACCAGGTGCGCTATGTGCGGGCGGGGCCCCTTCGGTTGGCCTTCCTGCTACGGGGGCCCCTCATCCTGGTGGCCGCGTCCAGCCTGCCCCTGTCCCTGCACCAGCTGCAGAGCCAGCTACACTACGTCCACGCCCAGGTACGTCTTCTCTCGCCCCGCTGGGACCTCGAACCAGTCTTGAGGCCGGATTCAAAGCGTGGGGGGTCGTGAAACATGGTAGTGCGACCAGGTTTCTTTGCAAAAATCCCTTTGCCCTTGGCGGGCATCGAACCAAGAAACTCTCGGTCGGTCGTTCGACGCTCTGGCCCCGCGCTACCGGAGCGGCTGAGAAAAGTGCTATTTTGGCCGCTTTATGTACTCGTGTGGCTGCGAACAATTGTGGCATTGAGGGATTGTTTTCGAGCAACAAGCGCCATCTGGGGATTGTCTGCAAACTATACACAAAGGGCAGCCCAACATGCCTCCGCTTGTCAGAACACGTTGGCCTTGTGCCGTTGTATTGGCTTATATTGATTTCCATGCACAATGTTACTGATGCTCAAAAAAGCGTACCATAATATCCCGAGTCATTGCCCATCCCCTTGCCCGCTCCACTTTTTGGGCGAACATCAATTTCCAAAAAAACACAGAGCGATCGCTCCCTCCTAAAGATACCCCAACGCGGACTCCGTGACCTCCGAACGTTCATCCTACCCAAATGGTGCAGCTGCATACCTTACGGTTGGAGAACGAAGGAGGGAATGACGATTCACCTTGTATACACATTTCCCTCCCGATTTTTGCGACCCCAAAGTCTGTGTACAGGCGAACGAAAGGAAAATGATAGAGATAACAAAATAAAACTTGTTTGAAACAAACTTGAACACAATTTGTTCGAAAAACAAGAAAAATTAAAAAGATAATACAAGCAGTACCCATTCGGGGGTTGCAAAGTCAACGAACGCCCCATGTCCTGGAATGTAACTGCGGAGCGTAAGGTCAGAGTTCGTCTCCATTGAAACAAGGTCACCGCGAACCTGTTTCTTCTTCCGGAACGTCGCCACCGCAGTTGGTGAGGTTGTGCGATGTTTGAGACAAAGCCAACGAGTAAGTAAAGACTTGCTGGAATGCCAAACACAGATGTTTGTAAACCGTCTTATTTTGAGCTCAGTGTTCGTGGTGCTGTCCACGCCACGCAGCAATGCTGCCTCAACCTGCGTTAATAGCACGCCGTGCACGGATGCACGCGCGTATGCACCAAGCAAGAAAGTTGCGCAAGAGCTTTCTCCTTGTGATTGACAAGGCATTCTACTTGACCCGACGCCAAAGTATTTGCCAATGCGATGGCCGGCTTTCCCGCTTCCTCAGGATCGCTCTTCGTTGCTTTTTTAGTCTGCACGTGCGCTCGCTCGTTGCACCTGGTTGGTTTTTCTATTTTCTTGTTAACTCTTTTCATTATTAACGAAAAGAACACAGCGTTGTGAGAAACATGCTTTCACGAAACAAAAATTCGCAGTGTGCGCCAATCGGCGATGTTCATCGCGCGTATGCAAGCAACGGATTTTGCAATAGTAAAAGATTATTTCACGTGCATTTATTGCATAAAACAGTGAAACTAATTCGAGTTTTTAGTTTAAGGTATCTCTTGTGCAGCTGCGCTACATATGCGCGGAATAAATGGGTGTCACTTTTTTAGCATTTTCTAAACTTTTTTTTGCTTACCCACCGAGACATGGCCCACCCCACTTTTTTTTTAATCAATTTTAGGTGGCAGAGGTGTGGGCAATGACTCGAGATATAACCATAGTAAAAAAAGACGAAATATGCTTAAACGTAGGTGCCGAACATGTTGATTGTGCGGGACGGTGCCCTCCGAAAATGCCGTCGGTGGGGAAGCAAGGCCAGGGTAAAAGGTGTATGAACGTGCAAAAGCTTACTGGAAAGAGGTCCATTGTATGCAGTGACGAGCTGTAGCGGTTGATCAGCCGCGAAGAATTGTCACTGCACCGTGACACTTAGGAAAAAGGTGAGTTACGAATGCCTCAAAGCTTATCGCTAGTGTAGAAAGCTTTTTCCAAATTTGCTGCACGCTTGGTGAGTAGTCTTCGATCCACATTCATATTCAATCAGTTGGCCTTGGCTTTGACGCCTTATAAAGAAGTTCTCGCTTGCTTTTAAAGTTTAGAAATTTAACACTGATCGGTTGAACAAAGCCTCCCCTCTCGTGACCGACACGGTGTGCTATTTCGATATCGCCAGCATTTATCTATAGCTGGTCTGAAAAGAAGAATTGTGCGTTTTGGCCAGGACCACGATTCATTTTCTTCCTCAGGAATTCCCTTGGTTAGCAAGTTGTTCCTTCTCATTCGGTTTACGATATCATCTATGGCACTAAATGAACCGCTTACTTCTTAAATAAAGTTGTCCACCCGTTAGGGTTCTAGAAACCAAGAAAACTTGTTTCTTGCTGTTTAGCAGACACGTTTTAGGTTTTTGTTAATGTCACAGACAACTTAATTTGTGTACTTTATTTCATTCTGGACTGTTGTGATCTCGCTAAACGCACTGTCATGAAACCCTTTTAGTTAGGCCACCGATTTCCGAGATAAGCTTGTTTAATTTACACAAGGTATCATTCTGGCATGGGCGTACCAACCGGGGGGGCAAGGGGGGCACTTGCCCCCCCAGTTCTCAGAGTGGGGGGGCAAGGCATGCGTTTTGCCCCCCCCCTGAAACGGCCGCCGCTGGCCAGAGCAGACACAGGCCGGCGGCGCCCAAGGAATACCAAGGGCACTGCCCCCCGACCCGCGCGGGCATATTTTTAACGCGCAGGCGATACAAACCCTAGCAACGGTGGTCACGCACGCCGAATTGGCTGGTTCGTAAAGCCTTGCTCCACGAACAAGGCTACACGGTAACCTTACGGAATCCATCCGCGAGACATGGGCCGGACGGGCCGTCCAGACCAGGACGTAGGCCCTTACACAAAATAAAGTTTTGCTTGCTTGCTTGGAGATAGGCGCTGCCGCCGTCAACATAGGCAGCGGATGCAATGCGAGTTTCCGAAGAGGTAGCGTAACTTAGTGGTGAGATGTCTGCCTCATACGTGTCAGACCCGGGTTCTATTTATGGTGTGGGCCGGCTTACTTCTTTTTATTTTTTTTCTCGAACATTTTGTTTTGTCGAGGCATTTGGCGATATTTACATTTCTTTTTTACCATTAACACTAAAAAAACGAATGTTGTTGACGAAACATCGCTAAACTAAATCGTATCGACTCTATTTACGGAAGTGCATGGGGGGCAGCGGGGCTTGGGTTGCCGACCGGACGCCGCAAAGCGGCGTGTACGGGGGGTGGGGGGGCTAGGTGGGTTAATAGATTTGTAATTAGCAGCCGCACACCGTCACCGCGAAGCGGCGTGAACGCAGGCGGGGGGTGGGTTAACGCGCTTCAAGTGATACACGAGCAGCCCATCCGGCGTGAGCGTCGTTGTTAGGGGTTCTATCGCCTGCACCGTAAAAGGAGCAGTGTGTGCACCTCCTGTAGTGGGCAAGAATTCCTACATTGGAGAGAAGCGGGGACAAGCCCTTTCTTCAAATGCGTCAAGTCTCCTTGAGCTTCGGAATACAAAGAAACACCACTCTTCGGAGCTAATCCCACAGTTACTCGACCTCTCTTGCGTCGTGTCTGTTCGCTCCCCGCGCCTCGTAGCAGTGTTGTTGCAGTGGGGGGGGCTCGTTAAAATTTTGGGGTTTTTTGGACTATCTAAATCACTTTCTTCCTTCCCATCCCCCCCTTTTCTACTACGCATGCTTCCCCCTCTGCAAATATCAGCTGACCTTCCGACATCTTTTCTGTGTTGATAGGCAAAACAACCACTAAAATTAGAAAGTAATTTGTAATTTGAGTGGAAGTCACTCGGAAAAGTAGTTAAAGTAAACTACGAATTACTAGAATATAAATGTAATTAAAAGTTACTAAACTACCCAGAAAAGTAGTTAAACTACAGTAACTTGAGTAAAGTAGTTGAACTACGTACAAGTCTGGCCCGGCAGGCGCTCTGCGTAAGGGTTTTCACCTATCTGCCTAGCCCCGCACACCATCACATGGGCCAAGAAAGGTGTAGTTTTACTGCAGAGGAGAAATCAGCAGGGTCCAAGATGGTGACAATGGAGGATGGGGGACTGTTCCAGTGGCTGATGGCTTGAGAAAGGAATGACCAATTGAAAGCGTTAGTAGAGTCAGAAATGTGCTTGATGGTGCAGACGTTGTTGAGGCGAGATGTTCGGTCGGGGGGTAATAACAAAGTGGTTTTGAGATCGGGAATGTGGTAGTAGATTTTGTGAATAAAGCACAGCTGAGAGACTTTTCTGCGAAGCTGCAAAGAGGACATGGTTAGTTCAGTTTTTAGCGCTGAGACACTGAAAAAAAAAGTCATAAGTGGATGAAATGAAGCGAGCAGCTCTGTTCTGAACTGCCTCTACAGGGTATTGATGAGGTACAGTCGATGGGTATTCCAGATGGTTGAAGCATATTCTATTTTTGGTCTGACGTACGTGTCCAAGGTTAGCTTACGAACAAAGGGTGGAGCCCTTTTTAAGTTACGTCTGCTTAGTCCAAGAGTTTCAGATGAATCGGCAGTAATGACTTCAATGTGGTTATTTTAGGGAAGGTCAGATGTTAGTCTTACACCAAGGTATTTACCGTAATATCCCGAGTCATCGCCCACCCCCCTACCGCCTGAAATTCATTAAAAAAGTGGGGTGGGCCATGTCTCGGTGGGTGAGCACAAACACTTGAAAAAAAAGCGGAAAAAACCGCCTATTCTTCTCTGCGTATCTAGCGCTGATGCACAAGAGATACATCAAACTCAAAACTCGATTTAGTTTCCTTGTTGTATAGAAAAAAATGCTCACGAAATAATATTTTACTATAGCGAAGTCCGTTGCCTGCATACGCGTTAGAAACACCGCCGATCTGCATATAGCGCAAACGTTTGTTTCGTGAAAGAATGTCACCACTATGTTCTCCTAGTTAGTAAAAAAAAAAAAAGAAAGAAAAGTCTACAAGAAAATAGAAAAACCGACCAGGCGCAACGAGCGAGCGAGCGGACCAAAGAAGCGACCAAGAGCAATGCTGGGAAAGCGGGAAAGCCGGC